CGAAGGTGATATAATATCTATGCCGCGAGAATTGCGCCCCTGATCCTAAATTAATTAGAAATATCCGGGTATTAACAGAACATTAAAGTTCACGGGACGATCGCTACGATGTTGCCATGACTTTTTTTATCCAAAATATACCCGAAAATACTGACCTCCGCCAATATACCTACAAAAAAACTGACGCTCCGCATAGTCGATAAAATTAAAGAAAAAGTATACTGAATCTGGTCACACTGTGCCAGAGCACGCCACGACAATAAATTCAGAAACATATTAACGTATCGTGGCGTGTCGTGACTCGTGACGCATAGGTTTCATACATTTACAGTTTGTCTATAAAGTCATGACATTAAATGATGGCGCCACTAGTATGCATGTAGCAACCCTGTACAGTCTGATCAAAATGATTTTGATACTAGCAGTTCATTCAAGTAAAATAGGTAATTAATAAGACACACTATACAGTCGTATTTTGTTTCTATTTTATATATAGTAGGTACCTATGCTTATAAAAAGTTTAGCCAAGCATATTTGATTGAATCAGAATAAAATTATTATAGATAAAATAGTACTTTATAGTGTAAAAGTGTGTAATGTTGGTGATTACCGCTGAGTTGCCATTGAGACCAGAGCCGTTAGGTAATCATCAATACACACAAGTATCATCATACGACGTTTTTTAACACACTTGTTAAGAAAATAATACTTAAAATCATTTTATAGTATATAAAAAGTTTATTTAGAGAAACAATTTGTAAATGTGCAGTTAGTAAAATTAGTGATAGGTATCTTCACTAAAAGCATCTGGCCATGGTTCTTTATGTGACAACGAGCTGTTGTCAATCCCATTTACAAGCAAGGGAATAAAAGTGATATTGCCAATAGGCTAGTTGACCCTTTTTGGAAAAAGGTTTTAAATGGTTAATAAATGTTCTATTAGACCGAAAAAAAATGTATTGTATTTTTTTGAGACCTAGAAAGCTACAAATCTTTAATTTTAAAATAGACTTTTCATGGACATACAAAAACGCTGTCGGCCATTTTAGTCTATAGATTATCTATGCTATGACGTTGACGGTAGTAAACAAAAACTCGTAAGCACGTAGAAAATAACCTATCTGAGTTTATAATAAAAAGAAAACATGATTTCTAATAGATACCACGAAAAATATAGTAATTATCATTATTGTATTGTACGAGAATGTAAAAACATATCCTTGAAGACTCCAGGAAAGTTGTGGATTAAAGTGCCGAAAGAAATTAACCTACGCAATACCTGGTTAGAACTTGCTAAAAGTGATCCTGCAACTTTATCGACTCATAGTAAAATTTATTTTTGCGAAGATCACTATGATGTAAGTACTCATTGAATAATATTTTAAGTCTCTTCATTTATTATCAGTTTTAATAATACAAGTTTTAAAGTTATGTATGAATGACATTTAGTTGTTTACTAAAAGAGACGTCACAATCATGGCGGATGTGGCGAACAGCGTTTTTAGTGTTTAAAAAGTATAGACTAAAAAATATTTTTTAAATTAAATTTCTACAGCACTCTTCTGCTTTTATGAAGTGAAATCGATATATTTAGGTTCCTTACATTAAATACTTTAAGAAATAAACATTTATTTAATACAATTCGACATGAGTCAACTAGCCTATTACAGACCGATATCAGTGCTACCGGTACTCTCAAAAATTTAGGAAAGAAAAATCAACAATGCACTGGTTGGTTTCTTAGATAAATATAATATAATTGCAAAGAACCAATTTTGGCTTCAGATCAGGTTTTTCCCCATAAGACGCAATCGCGAGTTTTACTAGTGCAGTAGTTGGCAGGTAGACAGTAAATAGAAATGTTTCGGAATCTTTCTAGACCTCTCCAGGGCCTTCGACACAGTTTCGATACCTGTACTAATCAAGAAGCTGGAATACAGTGGCATTCGAGGTCAAGAGCTGGAACTTCTCAAAAGACAGGATTCTACCTTCAGGATCGTACACAAAGCGTTAAGGTTGACTCTCTTACCAGTGATACTGAGAACATTGGCTACGGCGTCCCTCAGGGTAGCATACTAGGACCAACACTTTTCCAGGTATATGTAGCAGTTCATTCAAGTAAAATGTGTAATTAAGAAACACTATACAGTCATATTTTATTTCTTTTTATATACAGTAGGTACTAACACTTATAAAAAGTTTTACCAAGCATATTTAATTGAATCAGAATAAAATTATTATAGATAAAATATTACACTATTGTGTACAAGTGTGTAATGTTGGTGACTACCGCTGAGGCGAAATTGAGACCAGAGCCGTTAGGTAAGGGTCTTAAGAGAGCCGAGGATGGTAATCATCAATACACACTTGTATCATACGATGTTTTTTAACACACTTGTTAAGTAAATAATACCAAAAATCATTTTATAGTATATAAAAAGTTTATTTAGAGAAACAATTTGTAAATGTACAGTTAGTAAAATTAGTGATAGGTATCTTCACTAAAAGCATCTGGCCATGGTTCTCTGTGACCTGGTCGGAAAATAAATCGTCCATTTCTTTCTTTGGTCGGCCTTGCCTTTGTTTCCCAGAAGTTTCAAACTTTCCGTCATTCTCAAAACCTTCGTTGGATAGTCAACGAAGGCTAACTGTACTCTCTGATTTTCCTGAAAAAAAAAAAGTTAAAAAATATGTAACGGAATAGAAACAATAACTTATTGACATGAAGCAATTAATTCAAAATTGGTAGAAAACCTGACTGAGTTGTACCATCCCAACGTATCAAAAGAAATGGTCGTACTATAATATATACAATGTCATACTTAAAATGTCAATCTAACCTAAAAATGTGCAATGTAAACAATTGGTCTCAAAATCGTAAATTGAGTAAATTTGTAACTTCAGGCAGAATACAAACAAATAGTAACACGATTGCATACCCGTCATAGATGCTGTTCGCTCATAAACATCAACCAAATCCCACAAAATTTGTCCAGTTTGGTACTCCGCGAAACATCGCTGGCAATTTTGAATTAATTGCTTCATGTCAATAAGTTATTGTTTCTATTCCGTTACATATTTTTTAACTTTTTTTTTTGGAAAATCAGAAATCATACAATTAGCCTACGTTGACTATCCAACGAAGGTTTTGAGAATGATGGAAAGTTTGAAACTCTTGAGAAACAAAGGCAAGGCCGACCAAAGAAAGAAATGGACGCTTTATTTACGCTACAACCTATACCTACCTAGAAGGAATGATAGGTAATCATTAATTTTACTAACTGTACATTTACAAAATATTTCTCTAAATAAACTTTTTATATACTATAAAATGATTTTTAGTATTATTTTCTTAACAACTGTGTTAAAAAACGTCGTAAGATACACGTGTGTATTGATGATTACCATCCTCGGCTCTCCTAACGGCTCTGGTCTCAATGTCGCCACAGCGGTAGTCACCAATATTACACACTTGTACACAATAATGTACTATTTTATCTCTAATAGTTTTATTCTGATTCAATTAAATATGCTTGGTAAGACTTTTTATAAGCATAGGTACCTACTGTATATAAAACAGAAACAAAATATGACTGCATAGTGTGTCTTAATTACTTATTTTACTTGAATGAACTAGTATCAAAATCATTTTGGTCAGACTGTATAGGGTTGCTACATGCATACTAGAAGAGCCATCATTTAATGTCACGACTTTATAGACAAACTGTATCTTAGGAAATCACGGCGGCATGGTACAAATTTTGAACCAATCGGAAATATACTAGAATTATTTAATTCAGAAAATGTATGCATATTCACAACTATGAGAAGAAAATGGGACTGAAGAAGAACCCACTTGATATTTTAAATGAAGCTTAAATTAACAAATATAACTTAGGTTTTTTTTTTGTAACAAGGTGATTGGGATTTTTTTTTAGAAAACGCATCATTTTGGGGAAATTTAATCATCAGTTTGGGGGCAAACATTTAATTTCACCTAGCAACCGTGAAACTCTGTAATCTGTGGCCATAAATTAAAAAAAAAGTAATCTGGAGTTTTTGGCGGGATTTCATCGAGTGTGGTTGGCGTCTTATTTTAATTATTCTTAAATTCGTTCATAGTGGATATTGTGAAATAAAATTGGTGTGATTTTGTGTTACAACTCTTTGCGTAACTGAAGAATTAGTAGAATCGTCAAAATATACGCTTTTCCGGTCAAGTGGACGTGAGAATTTTATTGTAATATTGACTTCCTCACAGAAGCTTGTCGAAAAAGCCAGCTCGATACATTTCGTGCCAAACACTTCAAGAAACATTAGAATGCGTCACACCGACATTCTAATATAAAAGAAAAACAGAATAATTTAACTTAAGACTAGGCTGTATGGGCATTATTCCTCTTGCCTTTCCTGAAAAGGGAGAACTTAACAAAAAAAAAAAGTAATCTGTGGCCGGACGCAGTATCTATCTGTGGCAGTGTTGCCAGGTCTCCAGATTTTACAGGAGATCTCCTGTTTTTCTGAAATTTCTCCTGTTCTACTGTTTTTCTACATGAATCTCCTGTTTTTTTAGAATACGATTTTCTTTTTTAAATTGCATGTTTTAAATTAAATTGTCTAAAGAAAAAATAGCTTTGTGGGGCGGCAGAAGCCACAGAAACTTTATTCGTTACTGGTCTTTATCTTGATTTGATTTACCGATTCGGGGGGGGGGGGGGGGGGGGGAAAGTACACCTCTGCATCTACTGTTTTTCTTTCCATACATCTACTGTTTTTTTCTATAACACCTCCCGATTTCTGAAATTCCGACCTGGCAACACTGATCTGTGGAATCTATATAGTCTGGTGGCCGGTCCGGTCTGTGTTTGCGGTTGCGAAATATGTTTGTTTGATTTGATTTCGTTTTAAATAATTGTACTCTAGTTATTTTTATTACTGGGAGAGAGTTTCCAAAGTTGTAGATATAAATAACTTTAGGTCGTATGCATTAATAAGTAAAAATGGACTTTCAAAATCGGCCGGGTGGTAAAACAGGCGGAGGTGGTGTAGCATCATGGTCAGAAAGCAACAGAGATCGCCGCGAAAGGCTTCGTCAACTTGCACTGGAAACAATTGATTTAAACAAGGATCCTTATTTTATGAAAAATCATTTAGGTTTGTTATTGATAAATAACATATTTATCAAAACTAAGAACTAACCTCAAGGAAGAATTGAAATTTTTGCAATGTAATATTTATATTTTCTATTACTTCTTTAATTGACCAGACAGTGAAGGGTGTTAGTTTGATCCAGAATAGTATTTGGGACTAAAATACTCGTTATTTTCCCAGTGATTTTTTTATAAGTTTAATAATCTAACAGGTATTTTATAAAGTAATACAATTTTGTAAATGTTTTTTATATAACATTGATTGTGAATTGCAGGGTCTTATGAATGTAAATTATGTCTAACACTACACAATAATGAAGGAAGTTACTTGGCTCATACTCAAGGAAAAAAACATCAAGCTAACTTAGCAAGAAGAGCTGCTAAAGAAGCAAAAGAGGCGCCTCAACAACTGGCACCAGAAAAACCGAGGATCGAGCCAAAAAAGTTTGTTAAAATTGGTCGTCCCGGTTATAGGGTCACAAAGCAGAAGGATCCTGAAAATGGACAACAGAGCTTACTATTCCAAGTTGATTACCCAGGTTTGTTGCATATTCTGTATGTTAGTTATTTGCATGAAGTCAGAAGTGTAATTTTATAAATTGCTATTTAATTTTGATAAATCAAAAAGCTTTGTTTTTAAGTCTTAATTAGTGAAAGTTTAAAAATCATATAAACTTATTGTTATAGAAATTGCTGAAGGAGTGCAACCAAGACACCGTTTCATGTCAGCATATGAACAGAAAATTGAGCCCCCAGATCGCAGGTGGCAATACTTGCTGTTTGCTGCTGAACCTTATGAAACGATTGCCTTTAAAGTACCAAGCCGTGAGGTTGAGAAACATGATTCCAAATTTTGGACTCATTGGAATAAAGATACCAAACAGTTCTTTTTACAGTTTGCATTCAAGATTGAGCCACTGCGTATGCCTCCTCCACCTCCAAAGATGTGGGAGAGTCATGGAATGCGGTTACCGCCACCACCAGGAGCACCGCTTATGGGAGTTCCACCTCCACCTCCTTTATTACCAGTACCACCACCACCACCATCTATGTAAACAACACCTATTGTGGAGTCAAAATAAATGTATTTTGATAATAACTTTTTGTTACAAAAACCTACAAAATTTGAACTGGTTATTTTAGCATTAATAACACTGTTGTTTTTTAAAACAATTAGTCAAGTTACTAAGATATTTAATATTACTATTTATTTCCCAACTCTAAAATAATTATTGAGGGAAATAGTGACACTTCTGACCAGAGTTTTTTTTTTTAATTATTTACTATGTATGTATTTAGTAAATCGGCAAATTAATTTTGTGTTCCCACATTATGTTTTGGTGAAGCTTATTCTTTCATAACAACTTATGGTCAGAGTTCAGTTCTGTGTTTAGACAAAAAAAACATACTTTTACATACCTATGTGAAAGTATGTCTGTTTTTACACTTAAACTGCTGAGTCTATTTAAATGAAATTTGGTGTAGGGATAGCTGGAGTCTCAGCAAAAGCATATCGGTTTCATACATTTATTAAGGTTTTAGAGACATTTGTAGGGGGTGGCGACACGACACCTTAATATGTTTCTGCCTTTATTATAGTTAGTGACATATTTAAGGCAGGAACATATTAACTTGTCGTGTTGTGTCGACACACATTACATGTATCATTAAATGACGTATTCTATGATCTATCCGTTACCCTAGCATCCCATAACATAAGCTTAAGCCGGCTACACACGCTAGGTTATGCCTGTCAGTTTTGCATGTGCAAGCAAAACCGACAGGCTCGACCGAGTTTCATAGGGCACACACACGTAACGACAAACCTGCACAAGCTCTCAGTCAGCATCATGGCACCGGCAGCGGTGGTTGACGTCGACGCAATAGCGCTTATAGGATTATTTTTTGTAATTTGGAAAAAAAAAACTAAACAACGAACCCGTACAGAGTGGTGTAAAAAGTGGTTACAGAAGAGGAGAAAATACAGCCATGTCAACATAATAAAGGAATTGACATTTTATCCGAAAGATTACCGTAATTATTTACGAATGGACGAAAAAACTTATCTTACGCTGTTATCAAAGGTCACTCCATTAATTAAAAAGCAGGACACCATTATGAGAACCGCTATATCACCACACGAGAGGTTAACTGTGACATTGAGATTCCTTGCTACAGGACGGACATATGAATGCTTAAAATATTCGGCCTTGATATCGCCTCAAGCTCTAAGCAAAATTATTCCTGAAACTTGCGCTGCAATTTATAAAGTTTTACAAAAGGATTATCTAAAGGTAAGTGTAAATAAAAATATCATTTGATAAGTATAGATAAGTTTTTATTTAGTTAAAACAAACAAGAAAATATTAGAAAACTACACTGCTAATTAAATTCAAAATTTGAGTAATAAGTTGATGCTGTAACAGCATTTTCTGCAATTGTACATTGTACATTGGTAGAATTATTCATTGAGTCAGTGTTTTCTGGAATTGATAACTGTACATCGACAGGAGGATTATTAATTGTAGAAGGAAGCTGTATGAGCAAAGGGTTCTGAGAAGTGTTCGAATTAAATTGAGAATATTGAAATTGTTGCATCAATGACGGACTTGGGCTTCGTGTACTCGTATGATGTGGGCTAGAACTTGAGATGGATGTCGAATTAGGAGAATGTATGTATTGGCCTCTATGATAGTGTGGAATATTCCTGTTCTGGTAACTTTCTGTGCTTAGATTTCCCATCTCTCCTTCGAACAAAGTGTCATTTATAAGTTTTTCGGCTATAAGCCGCTGGCGTTTTTCCATTGCCCTTAATTTCAAAGCTATGGATTTACCTAGTAAATCGTACCGGTCTTCTTGCGGTGGCGGTGAAGCTGCAGGTCGTTTGAAATGATCCCTAATTGAATTTAATACGTCGTTTGTTAATTTATCTTGCTCGTTGTTTTTTTTACCGGGTCTTGATGCTCTTGGTTGTTTCTCGGCTGGCTGCTGCTGCTGTTCTTGAGATACAGAGTTTTGTGTTGTATTGTCTGGAGCTACTTCTGTATCCAAAGTTGTGTTTTCATTAGTATCCGTGATATCAGCAATATCCTAAAACAATAATTTTTGTTACAGTTTCCTAATTCATCTGAAAAATGGAGAAATATAGCGCAACAATTTGAAGATAGGTGGAATTTCCCTCATTGCTTAGGTGCGATTGATGGTAAGCACATTGACATAATTCCACCTGCTGACAACGGATCGTATTACTATAATTACAAAAAACGACACAGTATGGTGCTTATGGCAATAGTAGATGCTAATTACGAATTTCTACTAGTTGATTTTGGAACTAATGGCAGAATTTCTGATGGAGGCGTCTTACAGAATACCAAGTTTTTTGAAATGCTCCAGGATAACAAACTTGAACTTCCCAACGCTGAAGTTATCAAAAACAGCTCAACAAATCTCCCATATGTATTTGTTGCTGATGACGCATTCCCGTTAAGAACTGATATGCTAAAACCATTTCGACAAGCTGACTTGCATTCACGCGAAAGAAAGATATTTAATTATAGATTGTCTCGCGCGAGACATATTGTTGAGAATGCTTTCGGTATTCTAGCATCACGGTTTCGAATATACCATACTGCAATAAATCTAGAGCCAAAGAATATAGAAAAAATTGTGATGGCAACATGCGTATTGCATAATTATTTAATTAAACACGTAGGAGGTTCTTATGCGCCCCGGGAATGTTTTTATGAAGAAAATACCGCAAATGGTACTATTATCACGGAAGGCTATAATACTACCGATTCGAATATGGAAAACTTGCACCGAACCCAAGGAAATATTTTAAATTATGCAAAACAGGTGCGAGCTAAATTTACTAATTACTTCGTAAATGAAGGCAAAGTATCGTGGCAAGATAACTTCGTTGTGACTTAAGTTTACCGTAGGTATGTAATCAGGTTTAAAGTGATTGTATCTAATAAAAATTATAACATTACTAATAAATTAAGATTTTATTTCCCAACTCGGCGTGATTAATATGTATAGCCATGCCAAATTACAGCTTTCTAGTACTAAAGGTTTCTGCGTGAAGCCGCGGACAGACAGACGGACATGGCGAAACTATAAGGGTACCTTAGTTTCCTACTTTCTCGTATGATGTAACAAATATAACTGACTTTTATTCCTTAAAACAGAACGTACAGAAAACAAAACGCAGGTAAAAAGGATCACAATCAGTTGTTCCTGGTATTGCAGATGCACGTGTTCGGCGGCAAAGTAGTTTTACTATCGGTAATTAACAAACAATAGGCCAGGTACTCTTATATCTTAAGTGGCAAATGGACAATTCCTAGTGAACGAACCATACACCTATTAACTTTTTTAATCACCAGCTGATTATCTATATGAAAAAATAACACTACATTTTTTAAATTACCACACGCACGCACACGCACACACATACGACCCACCACGCCACATTTGTATAAAAAATATATATTTCTTACCTCAATTTCATCGGCGTCAACTATATTGGACTGTGAAGGACGAGGAGTGTCCTGATCTCCGAGGAACTCGAACATGTCATAGTACCACAACGAAGGTTTATAAATTTCATCAGCCGACGCTCCCGATTTAGTTGATTCATCAATCTTTCTTTTTTCCCTTCGTACATTACTTCGTAACGCATTAATTTTTTGACAACATCTTCTTTTGTCGCATTTGTCTCTAGTTCTCTTAATTTAGTTAGAAGTTTTTCATAAGCTGCCGCTCTTTTATTACGGTCATGATACGCTTTATCCTTCACTCGCCAAATACAGGGCTCCGATTTATATATTAAAATAAATTCTTCCAAAATTGCATTTCGTTTGCGAGACGTCATTATTGCGTATTGACGTACGATGCCCAAACGACGACCTATCCTCTCTGCACTTGCTGGATGACTGAACTCCGCCTGCCACACACGTTCAGTTATGCTTGCGCAGGCGAACTGCGCAAGCATAACCGAGCGGTAAAAATATAAATTTCTATATTTTTGATTTTGCTTGCGCAGGCAAGAAATTGTGTCATACACACGTTCAGTTATGCTTGCACAGTTGAACTGTGCAAGCATAACAATCGGTTATAACCTAGCGTGTGTAGCCGCCTTTAGTGCTTACTTTGGGGCTACATCATACACGCTTCTAATTTGGCAATACGAAAGTCAGGTAATTGCCCGTCTTGCATTCAGTCGGGCATGTTTTCTCATTGCGGATACACTTTGCTACAACGTGTAATTATTTAACGTTTATCCAGGCAAATGTGTGTTCTTAGATAGTACATAAAACACTTGGGAACTATTAAAGGCAAGAAAAACTTGTCTTTGTATTCATAAGTATAATTACAAGGACGTATAAAAAAAGGCGGACAGAGCCCGGCAAACAACAAACTGTCGCTCAGAGTCGGCCAGGTCGCTATACGTACAAGCCGGCACACACACATTCACACCATAGTCAGCCATTACGCGTGCAAACGACAAAGCAACCGACACGTTACGTGGAGATAAAAATAAGTTAGACAAGATGACTTACGTGGTAAAATGGTGTAAAAACCGTAGTGACCGAAAGAAAAAAAATCCAGGAATCACGTTTCATATACAAATGAATTATTTAATAACTTTTTCCAGTTTTTAGAAATCGAAATCAAGTTTCATTCTAAGGACAAAATAATTAATCTAAAGTCCAGTGTTGCCAAATGCTCACGTAACCATATTACCTAAAATATGGGAAATTGGGTTGACATTAGCTTCAATTTATTATTTGTTATTCTTTTTTATCAGATTCCTTAAAGAAAATGAAGTATGGAGAAATGACTGGATCCCAATTATTAGGAATTGTAACGGTGAAAATGAATGGATTCCAAACAAATATAGTGTCATTTGCAGTCTCCATTTTGAAGCTGAAGACTTACGACTTATGATAAGACTATTTAGATACAACTAAAGGAGGACTCCGGCGTGTAAATTAAAAATTTTAACCGACTTCAAAAAGAAAGCGGTTCTATGCGTCATATTTAGTTGATT